ACTGACAGATAAACCAGAATGGAACTTAAGGGTAAGAAATTCTAACGCCAAAGGAATGGTATCAGATCCTTGTGTGTTAGACAGAAAAGAAACCTCCCATTCTTTGAATTCCTCGATCATCTTTCTATATCTTACCCTAGTTCTACGTCTTAAAGATGAGTTAATAATATCCAAGACCTGGTCCGATAAATGGGGATGTGTTAACAGCCTACCAGGGCTGCGATCCACATCAGCTGCGGGAGCTTGAGCAGAAGATCGCTGGTTCCCTGAAAGCAGTCCACTGTCATGCCTAATGGGATCTTGGTTCCCTTGACTAACTGATGGATCAAGGGATACCAGGGTCTGGAGGTCCATACTGGGTAAACGAGAACTAAGCTCTGCACCCTGTCCCTGCGGATCTTCTCCAGCACTTTCATCAGTAAAGATGGAGGGGGGAAAGCATAAGGGGCTGGAACATCCGTCCATTGGAAAGACATTGCATCCATTTTCCAAGCTCCCTTTGTCCAGGTCCGGGAGACGAACCTGGGAGTTTGAGCGGATGTTTGGGATGCAAACAGATCTACCTGTCTCTGGCCAAAATTGCTTTCTATCTTTTGGAAAAGAGCAATCTTTAATTGGATCGTTGCCAGGGACAAACTTTGGCGAGAGAGAGAGTCTGCAAGCTCGTTCGCCTCTCCCGGAACATATTCTGCGAAAACCTGAACATTGCTTGCTAAGGCCCAGGACCAAAGATCTAGAGCCTCTAAGCAAAGACCCCTTGATCTTGTACCCCCTCTGTGGTTTATATAAGCCACCGCTGTCCTGTTGTTCGAATGGACTTTTACCAATGTCGGTGACTCGTTTAGAGGAACTAGGCCCTTGAGAGCTAATTTTATAGCTCGTAACTCCAAGATGTTTATATGGAGGTGACTCTCTTGGTCTGACCAGATTCCTCTTATGGCGTTTTGGGTTGTAAACGCACCCCAACCGTGACTTGAGGCATCTGACGTCAGAGTGACTGTCGCAGGCTGCTCTAACAGTGGACGAGGAAATAGAATTTCTAACTCCAGAATGGACTTCAATTCTTCTCTGACCTTCTTGGGGAGAACAAATTTTGATTCCCAATGGCCACCCTGTCTCAGTCGGTTCCCTAAAAACAGCTGACTTCTTCTGCAAAGTAAGGGGGAATTGTTGTATGCTGGTGTTAAAGCTATTAATTTCCCTATGATCTTTGCTAGGTCTCTCAAGGACCAACTCTGGTGCTTGAGAGATGAGTTCAGATGTACCAATAATTTGTCCCATTTGTCTTGAGGGATTCCAAGGGACATAGTCCTGGTGTTCAGTATGAAACCCAGAAAGAGGATGCTTTGAGTGGGAATTAGGACTGATTTCTGTAGATTTACTACGAATCCTAGGTCTTGTAAAAGGGAAGCAAGGTAATCCCTTTGAGAAGCAAGGGCTTCCCCATCTGGGTGCATGAGCAGGATGTCGTCTAGGTAGTATAGACACATGAAACCTTTTAGTCTGACATGAGCTATCACTGATTTCATAATTCTGGAGAATGTGTATTGTGCGTTGGAGAGGCCAAACACCATAACAGTCCACTGCCACACCTTTCCTTTCCACTGAAACCTGAGAAAACGCCTGTGTTTCTTGGCTATGGGGACTGAATGGAAGGCATCTTTTAGGTCTACTTTTATGCAGAAAAAGGCTTTCTGAACTAAGCCTGGAAGATCTGATAGACTCTCCATCCTGAACCTTTTCCTTTTGATGAATGCCTTCAGAGGCCTCACATTTAGGACCGGTCTCCAGGAACCGTCTGACTTTGGGATTGGGAACAATGGGCTGACCCATCCTGTAATAGACATGTCTGCCAACTCTATTTTTCCTTGACTTAAAGCTAAGGAAAGGGAGGCATCTAGCACTGGGTTCACCTCTCTGTGGGGTGCAAATTTCTGGACTGGGAACCTTAACAGGGGGAGTTGTAAACCCCTTTGAAAGATCTTTAGAACCCATTTGTCTGAGGAAATATCCTTCCAATTTAGTGGCATATGAGGAGGCACACTTACTTGAATGCATGGGTTTCCTTTTGGAAGCTGAACCGCCTCTGGAATGCGCTCCTCTGCCGCCGCCTGGGAGCTTATGTCTTCCACTGTAGTGGCGGTACTGGGCCTGGTGAGAGGCTTCTCGGGACGCTCCTGCAGCCCTATAGGGGCGACCCTCCGTCCGAAAGGGCTTCTTGTAGCCAGGGACGAACTTCTTGAGTTCTGAAAAGGATCTCCTTGCCTTGTAACGGCCTTTAACCTCCTGAATGAACGAGGGACCGAATAGGTAAGAATCCTCCAAATTTGGGAACTCATGCGATTTGGGGGCTAGGTCGGACAGACCAGCTGCATGGAGCCAGCGGGATCTGCGGATGTTTGAAATGTAATTAAAGGATTGGCCAATAATTAGCACTGCCCTGCCAGACGCTTTTTAAAAGGGCCATCTTAGATGCTAACAGGGATGAAGTGGAAGGTTTCTGAGCATTGCCTTCTTTTTCTGCTTTATCCAGCATCAGTAATAGTGGTCCCACAGCATCAGCAATTTTAAACTGTATATTGCGAAAAGTCTGGTCTGTGGGATCAGAGGATACGCTGCTCCCTGTGATGGATAACAGCGAAGGGTCTACCTCTGGGGCCATTAGAGCCTGAATGTCCGGGATACCGATGTGGTTCCTGAGGAGAAGGTCATCTTCCTTAACCAAGGGGGATCTGAAGGCTAGTTTAGCAAAATCTCTAACCTCGGAATCGTGCTCCATAGCCCATCTGGAGTGAAATAATTTTGATGGGAGAGTCTTTCCTAGGAGACTTACTCTGGCCATCTGAACATTGCTTAGCTTCCCTCGCTCAGTGGAAGCTGCTGAACGAACCACTTCCTCGGATTCCCAGTCTATTTCTGGAGAGCCGTATCTGGAACTGGGACGGCTTTGGGAAGAAGAGTGAGCGAACGCTCTAGAAGAGGAAGGAGAGGGACTATCTAACCTCCAACGAGATTTGCCCTTTTCCTCTGGGAGGTGTTTCTGGTGCTCAAACGAGGGAAACACGCTATTCCTTTTTTGAGGTCCTGTCCCCTTAAATTTTCGCTTACTCAAACGAGTATGAGGGGAAGGAGGAGCGGAGAAGTTTTCCTCAGACGAGGAACTGGCGGAAGAGACCAGCCGTCTTCCTTTATGCTTTTTATTTAAAACTGGGACCAAATCCTCCTCAGATGATGAAGAGGATAGATCCCTGGCAAGGAAAGCTCTCTTATGGAGCTTTCTAACATTGATGGGGCTGCCTTTAAGAGAGGCATCCACTAAATCTGTGGCAGACACAGAAATAGAGTCCTCCATCAATGATGCCATTTTAAAAAATCTGAGGTAATCAGGATTCCCGCGCTCAGCACGGCTCTCCTGATTACCTGATTGGCTGAAAGGCTGTTGCTGTGCAGATGCACAGCGCGAGCCTTTTCAGCTCTGGCATTTGACTCCGGGAGGCTGCCGCATACCCACTAGCTTTGCTAGGTGGTTATGCCTCCCGGAGGACAAATAGGTTTTGTGAGAGGGTTTGTATTTAGAGGATTTAGAAAGAGCTTGTGGACAGGCTAGAAAGGTATAAGTAGAGTGCATTGGATGAGTAGAGAGGAGAGGGAAGTAACGTGGAAGCAATGAAGATGGTGTCAACAGGGACAGGTGAGCAAAAGGATAGATAGATTTATTGATGAGAGAAGTTGTGAAAGTGAAAAATAGAAGGGAGAACATTATTAAGAGAATATGTGTTATGTTTTATAGAAATGAAGATTATATTTATATATATATATATATATACCCCCACATACATATACATATACAATCATATATGCATACATACATATGCTTAAAGTCAGGTATATAGATTGATATATAGATTGATATAGAGACTCTCACTCTCAGGCAGTTCATGTTGTACAGTGAATACAGTGCTCTCTGTGACCTCACTCTGTGAATAGCAGTTGGTGAATACATCGCTTTCTGTGACCTCAATCCTTGAATGGCAGTTTGTGAATACAGTGCTCTCTGTGACCTCACTCTGTGAATGGCAATAAGTGGATACAGCTCTCTCTGTGACCTCACTCTGTGAAGGCAGTTGGTGAATACATCGCTTTCTGTGACCTCAATCCTTGAATGGCAGTTGGTGAATACAGTGCTCTCTGTGACCTCACTCTGTGAATGCAGTTGGTGAATACAGTGCTCTCTGTGACCTCACTCTGTGAATGGCAATTGGTGAATATATCGCTCTCTGTGACCTCAATTCTTGAATGGCCATTGGTGATTACAGCGCTCTCTGTGACCTGACTCTGTGAATGGCCGTTGGTGATTACAGCGCTCTCTGTGGTCTCACTCTGTGAATGGCAGTTAGTGAATACAGCACTCTCTGTGACCTCAATCCTTGAATGTTAGTTGGTGAATACAGCACTCTCTGTGACCTGACTCTGTGAATGGCAATTGGTGAATACAGCACTCTCTGTGACCTCAATCCTTGAATGGCAGTTGGCGAATACAGTGCTCTTGGTGACCTGACTCTGTGAATGGCAGTTGGTGATTACAGAGGTCTCTGTGAAGGCAGTTGGTAAATACAGCGCTCTCTGTAAATGGCAGTTAGTAAATACAGCGCTCTCTGTGACCTGACTCTATGAATGGCAGTTGGTGAATACAGCGCTCTCTGTGGTCTCACTCTGTTAAGGGCAGTTGGTGAATGCAGCGCTCTCTGTGACCTCACTCTGTGAATGGCAATTGGTGAATACAGCACTCTCTGTGACCTCAATCCTTGAATGGCAGTTGGTGAATACAGTGCTCTTGGTGACCTGACTCTGTGAATGGCAGTTGGTGATTACAGAGCTCTCTGTGAAGGCAGTTGGTAAATACAGCGCTCTCTGTAAATGGCAGTTGGTAAATACAGCGCTCTCTGTGACCTGACTCTCTGAATGGCAGTTGGTGAATACAGCGCTCTCTGCGGTCTCACTCTGTGAATGGCAGTTGGTGAATACAGCGCTCTCTGTGAATGGTAGTTGGTAAATATAGTGCTCTCTGTGACCTGACTCTGTGATTGGCAGTTGGTGAATACAGCGATCTCTGTGGTCTCACTCTGTGAATGGCAGTTGGTGAATACAGCGCTCTCTGTAACCTGACTCTGTGAATGGCAGTTGGTGAATACAGCGCTCTCTGTGGTCTCACTCTGTTAAGGGCAGTTGGTGAATGCAGCGCTCTCTGTGACCTCACTCTGTGAATGGCAATTGGTGAATACAGCACTCTCTGTGACCTCAATCCTTGAATGGCAGTTGGTGAATACAGTGCTCTTGGAGACCTGACTCTGTGAATGGCAGTTGGTGATTACAGAGCTCTCTGTGAAGGCAGTTGGTAAATACAGCGCTCTCTGTAAATGGCAGTTGGTAAATACAGCGCTCTCTGTGACCTGACTCTGTGAATGGCAGTTGGTGAATACAGCACTCTCTGCGGTCTCACTCTGTGAATGGCAGTTGGTGAATACAGCGCTCTCTGTGAATGGTAGTTGGTAAATACAGTGCTCTCTGTGACCTCACTCTGTGATTGGCAGTTGGTGAATACAGCGATCTCTGTGGTCTCACTCTGTGAATGGCAGTTGGTGAATACAGCGCTCTCTGTAACCTGACTCTGTGAATGGCAGTTGGTGAATACAGCGCTCTCTGTGACCTGACTCTGTGAATGGCAGTTGGTGAATACAGCGCTCTCTGTGAATGGTAGTTGGTGAATACAGCGCTCTTTGCGACCTGACTCTGTCAATGGCAGTTGGTGATTACAGAGCTCTCCATGAAGGCAGTTGGTAAATACAGCACTCTCTGTGAATGGCAGTTGGTGAATACAGTTCTCTCTGTGGTCTCACTCTGTGAATGGCAGGTGGTGAATAGAGCGCTCCCTGTGCCCTCACTCTGTTAATGGCAATTGGTGAATACAGCGCTCTCTGTGACCTGATTCTGTGAATGTCAGTTGGTGAATACAGCACTCTCTGTAAATGGTAGTTGGTAAATACAGCGCTCTCTGTGACCTGACTCTGTGAATGGCAGTTGGTGAATACAGCGCTCTCTGTGATCTCACTCTATGAATGGCAGTTGGTGATTACAGAGCTCTCTGTGACCTGACTCTGGGAATGGCAGTTGGTAAATACAGCGCTCTCTGTGACCTCACTCTGTGAATGGCAGTTGTTGAATACAGCACTCTCTGTGACCTCAATCTTTGAATGGCAGTTGGTGAATACAGTGCTCTTGGTGACCTGACTCTGTGAATGGCAGTTGATGATTACAGAGCTCTCTGTGAAGGCAGTTGGTAAATACAGCACTCTCTGTGAATGGCAGTTGGTGAATACAGCGCTCTCTGTGATCTCACTCTGTGAATGTCAGTTGGTGAATACAGCGCTCTCTGTGAATGGTAGTTGGTGAATACAGTGCTCTATGTGGTCTCACTCTGTGAATGGCAGTTGGTGAATACAGCGCTCTCTGTGGTCTCACTCTGTGAATGGCAGTTGGTGAATACAGCGCTCTCTGTGGTCTCACTCTGTTAATGGCAGTTGGTGAATACAGTGCTCTCTGTGGTCTCACTCTGTGAATGGCAGTTGGTGAATAGAGCGCTCTCTGTGCCCTTACTCTGTTAATGGCAATTGGTGAATACAGCGCTCTCTGTGACCTGACTCTGTGAATGTCAGTTGGTGAATACAGCGCTCTCTGTAAATGGTAGTTGGTAAATACAGCGCTCTCTGTGACCTGACTCTGTGAATGGCAGTTGGTGAATACAGCGCTCTCTGTGGTCTCACTCTATGAATGGCAGTTGGTGATTACAGAGCTCTCTGTGACCTGACTCTGGGAATGGCAGTTGGTAAATACAGCGCTCTCTGTGACCTCACTCTGTGAATGGCAGTTGTTGAATACAGCACTCTCTGTGACCTCAATCTTTGAATGGCAGTTGGTGAATACAGTGCTCTTGGTGACCTGACTCTGTGAATGGCAGTTGATGATTACAGAGCTCTCTGTGAAGGCAGTTGGTAAATACAGCACTCTCTGTGAATGGCAGTTGGTGAATACAGCGCTCTCTGTGATCTCACTCTGTGAATGTCAGTTGGTGAATACAGCGCTCTCTGTGAATGGTAGTTGGTGAATACAGTGCTCTATGTGGTCTCACTCTGTGAATGGCAGTTGGTGAATACAGCGCTCTCTGTGGTCTCACTCTGTGAATGGCAGTTGGTGAATACAGCGCTCTCTGTGGTCTCACTCTGTTAATGGCAGTTGGTGAATACAGTGCTCTCTGTGGTCTCACTCTGTGAATGGCAGTTGGTGAATAGAGCGCTCTCTGTGTCCTTACTCTGTTAATGGCAATTGGTGAATACAGCGCTCTCTGTGACCTGACTCTGTGAATGTCAGTTGGTGAATACAGCGCTCTCTGTAAATGGTAGTTGGTAAATACAGCGCTCTCTGTGACCTGACTCTGTGAATGGCAGTTGGTGAATACAGCGCTCTCTGTGGTCTCACTCTATGAATGGCAGTTGGTGATTACAGAGCTCTCTGTGACCTGACTCTGTGAATGGCAGTTGGTAAATACAGCACTCTCTGTGACCTCACTCTGTGAATGGCAGTTGTTGAATACAGCACTCTCTGTGACCTCAATCTTTGAATGGCAGTTGGTGAATACAGTGCTCTTGGTGACCTGACTCTGTGAATGGCAGTTGATGATTACAGAGCTCTCTGTGAAGGCAGTTGGTAAATACAGCACTCTCTGTGAATGGCAGTTGGTGAATACAACGCTCTCTGTGATCTCACTCTGTGAATGTCAGTTGGTGAATACAGCGCTCTCTGTGAATGGTAGTTGGTGAATACAGTGCTCTATGTGGTCTCACTCTGTGAATGGCAGTTGGTGAATACAGCGCTCTCTGTGGTCTCACTCTGTGAATGGCAGTTGGTGAATACAGTTCTCTCTGTGGTCTCACTCTGTGAATGGCAGGTGGTGAATAGAGCGCTCCCTGTGCCCTCACTCTGTTAATGGCAATTGGTGAATACAGCGCTCTCTGTGACCTGACTCTGTGAATGTCAGTTGGTGAATACAGCGCTCTCTGTAAATGGTAGTTGGTAAATACAGCGCTCTCTGTGACCTCACTCTGTGAATGGCAGTTGTTGAATACAGCACTCTCTGTGACCTCAATCTTTGAATGGCAGTTGGTGAATACAGTGCTCTTTGCGACCTGACTCTGTCAATGGCAGTTGGTGATTACAGAGCTCTCCATGAAGGCAGTTGGTAAATACAGCACTCTCTGTGAATGGCAGTTGGTGAATACAGTTCTCTCTGTGGTCTCACTCTGTGAATGGCAGGTGGTGAATAGAGCGCTCTCTGTGGTCTCACTCTGTGAATGGCAGTTGGTGAATACAGTGCTCTCTGTGGTCTCACTCTGTGAATGGCAGTTGGTGAATAGAGCGCTCTCTGTGCCCTTACTCTGTTAATGGCAATTGGTGAATACAGCGCTCTCTGTGACCTGACTCTGTGAATGTCAGTTGGTGAATACAGCGCTCTCTGTAAATGGTAGTTGGTAAATACAGCGCTCTCTGTGACCTGACTCTGTGAATGGTAGTTGGTGAATACAGCGCTCTCTGTGGTCTCACTCTATGAATGGCAGTTGGTGATTACAGAGCTCTCTGTGACCTGACTCTGGGAATGGCAGTTGGTAAATACAGCGCTCTCTGTGACCTCACTCTGTGAATGGCAGTTGTTGAATACAGCACTCTCTGTGACCTCAATCTTTGAATGGCAGTTGGTGAATACAGTGCTCTTGGTGACCTGACTCTGTGAATGGCAGTTGTTGATTACAGAGCTCTCTGTGAAGGCAGTTGGTAAATACAGCACTCTCTGTGAATGGCAGTTGGTGAATACAGCGCTCTCTGTGATCTCACTCTGTGAATGTAAGTTGGTGAATACAGCGCTCTCTGTGAATGGTAGTTGGTGAATACAGTGCTCTATGTGGTCTCACTCTGTGAATGGCAGTTGGTGAATACAGCGCTCTCTGTGGTCTCACTCTGTGAATGGCAGTTGGTGAATACAGCGCTCTCTGTGGTCTCACTCTGTTAATGGCAGTTGGTGAATACAGTGCTCTCTGTGGTCTCACTCTGTGAATGGCAGTTGGTGAATAGAGCGCTCTCTGTGCCCTTACTCTGTTAATGGCAGTTGGTGAATACAGCGCTCTCTGTGACCTGACTCTGTGAATGTCAGTTGGTGAATACAGCGCTCTCTGTAAATGGTAGTTGGTAAATACAGCGCTCTCTGTGACCTGACTCTGTGAATGGCAGTTGGTGAATACAGCGCTCTCTGTGGTCTCACTCTGTGAATGGCAGTTGGTGAATAGAGCGCTCTCTGTGCCCTTACTCTGTTAATGGCAATTGGTGAATACAGCGCTCTCTGTGACCTGACTCTGTGAATGTCAGTTGGTGAATACAGCGCTCTCTGTAAATGGTAGTTGGTAAATACAGCGCTCTCTGTGACCTGACTCTGTGAATGGCAGTTGGTGAATACAGCGCTCTCTGTGATCTCACTCTATGAATGGCAGTTGGTGATTACAGAGCTCTCTGTGACCTGACTCTGGGAATGGCAGTTGGTAAATACAGCGCTCTCTGTGACCTCACTCTGTGAATGGCAGTTGTTGAATACAGCACTCTCTGTGACCTCAATCTTTGAATGGCAGTTGGTGAATACAGTGCTCTTGGTGACCTGACTCTGTGAATGGCAGTTGATGATTACAGAGCTCTCTGTGAAGGCAGTTGGTAAATACAGCACTCTCTGTGAATGGCAGTTGGTGAATACAGCGCTCTCTGTGATCTCACTCTGTGAATGTCAGTTGGTGAATACAGCGCTCTCTGTGAATGGTAGTTGGTGAATACAGTGCTCTATGTGGTCTCACTCTGTGAATGGCAGTTGGTGAATACAGCGCTCTCTGTGGTCTCACTCTGTGAATGGCAGTTGGTGAATACAGCGCTCTCTGTGGTCTCACTCTGTTAATGGCAGTTGGTGAATACAGTGCTCTCTGTGGTCTCACTCTGTGAATGGCAGTTGGTGAATAGAGCGCTCTCTGTGCCCTTACTCTGTTAATGGCAATTGGTGAATACAGCGCTCTCTGTGACCTGACTCTGTGAATGTCAGTTGGTGAATGTCAGTTGGTGAATACAGCGCTCTCTGTAAATGGTAGTTGGTAAATAAAGCGCTCTCTGTGACCTGACTCTGTGAATGGCAGTTGGTGAATACAGCGCTCTCTGTGGTCTCACTCTATGAATGGCAGTTGGTGATTACAGAGCTCTCTGTGACCTGACTCTGTGAATGGCAGTTGGTAAATACAGCGCTCTCTGTGAAGGCAGTTGGTAAATACAGCGCTCTCTGTGAATGGCAGTTGGTGAATACAGCGCTCTCTGTGATCTCACTCTGTTAATGGCAATTGGTGAATACAGCGCTCTCTGTGACCTGACTGTGTGAATGTCAGTTGGTGAATACAGCGCTCTCTGTGAATGGTAGTTGGTGAATACAGCACTCTCTGTGAATGGCAGTTGGTGAATACAGTGCTCTCTGTGGTCTCACTCTGTGAATGGCAGTTGGTGAATACAGCGCTCTCTGTGGTCTCACTCTGTGAAAGTCTATATATAGACTATAATCCTCCCCGATATCCACTGATATATAGGCTCCACTATATTAACAGTGTGTTCCTCCATATTTTTCTAACAATGGGAGGAGACTGGGCAGTGAAAACCCATGAGAAAACTTAAACCAGGTATGCTGGCTCTGGAATATGGCAGTACTTTTATCTATTAAAATAAAAAAGTGCTTGTCATGTTTCTAACTACCTGAAGAGTTTCTGCTGCATTGCTACAATCTGGTTCATAGTAGACGACTGATATGATTACAATTTACTTTCCCCCTAAATTTGCATGGGGTTGGAATAGAAAGAGTAAAAAAAAGATGAATTGGTTACTGATTTTATGAAAATTACTCCAGGTACAAACATGTACTCCATTGTCCTGTGGAGGTGTGCACTAGACCACCAGATGCCACACTGTGTATTTTGCAGCTAGATCCCATGAGTGTCTCCTTCACCTATATGATTTGGCAGACTAGTAAGCTTAGTCGACATTTAGCATGTATAAGCATCATGGGTAATGTAGTTTAAAGATCTGCAGTGCTCAGGCTAGCCAGAGGGCATTATTTTTTAACATGAGAACAGTGAAAAATAAATGATTGTCCAGTCACTTACTACTCATTAAATAAAGGCTATTTATTTACAATGTACAGTCATGCAAAAAAAAAAACTGTATAGACTCATTTATTTTTAAATATTTGCTTCTCTTCGCTTTTATACATAAGAACAAAAAAAGAAACCCCAATGGACATATTTGGCTGTCTAACATTTTTGGCAAAGCCTGTGTCTGCTTAATTTGTGCTGCTGATGGAATATAATATCTGATCACTGTTCAAATTTACAAAGTCTGTATATTAATGAGGCATTTTGTTTATCTGGCAAAAATTGAATTAGGTCTTTCATGGATGGACAGGATATATTTGAATGTTCAACTACATTTATACTTTCAAAGACAGACATAGCCAGAAACAACTAGCCAAAATTAACACTACTGTCAAAAGAATGTTTTCTTTGTGAGGAGGAGAATGATTATTATCTGACTTGAAAAATAATGCTTATGAAAACCATCATATACCCAACATATATTGTAAAAAATACCCGGACAAGGTCATGGGATATACACATATCTCCCAACATTTGAAATGGACAAAGAAGGACATTTTCATTTTGGGTGGGATGTGACCAGGGAGAGGACTATTCTGAGAAATCTTAAGTGATTTACAAATAACCATTTATGCAACTAAAATGTCAGTCGAACAAGAACAATGTATCTTATTCACAGAGGCTGATTTTTAAAAACATTTATTGAAGTTTAAAGAAACATTACTGTGCATATTATTGCCAAGGAGTTCTGCTATACACGCAGACACACCAACAACTTGGATCTCCTAGAAAAGAGCGACATTAGGACAAAAAAGAGGAACAGAGAATTGAGCCCAAAATAGGGACTGTCCCTACCAAATAAGGACACTTGGCAGGTATGTATACAGTTCACATGCATGTATAGTAACGAGGTTAGCTATCACTGCTTCAGTAGAAGTAAAGTCACAAGACAACTAAATTTGATGATATACAATATATTTTTATAAAAATTATAAATTTGCTTGCTTACTGAGTACTGTGGTGACATTCTGTCATCAAACTAATATGGTGACCAGGGATCACGTGACCAAGCTCATGTACAGTGGGATAAGCTTTACCTTTTGATATGGTAATTGAGTAAGTCAATACCTTTACAAGTCAGGAAAGAGGTAACCACTTCCCCCTATCTCCATTCCTCCCTGTTCCTTCTTGGCTGTGCTACTGAGCAGACCCTTAAGCAGACATGGCCTAATTTCTATCATGGTGAACTGTGAGTGGGATCTGGTGATTTTATAAGATGTAGTTGTTATTGTTAGTTAGGTTGTTGTTGCTGCTGTTGTTGGTATAGTTAGTTAGATTGTGTGTCATTATTTGTATGTTGTTGTTGTTTTGTCTCTGAATAAATATTTGTTAAAGTAGACGGACCAGAGTTTATATGTGTACGCGTACATAATAATTGATAGAGTTTGGTAATACACCACAAGTACATCCTGACAGAGCACAGGCATTAAGACCATAATAAATAATAAATTATCTGAATGAGGAAGCTTTTCTGCCCACTCCCATTGATTTATTATGTAATTCAAAAACCGGCAGATACACAAGTTACCTGCTTAACCAGCTCCTTTGCATGGTTACATGTCTCCTTAACTGCAGCATAACCCCTCTGGTGATAAAGCATGTACATGCTGTAGTTATAGTTACTCTAGTAGGAAAGAAGCCCATTTTTACTACTCTGAAATAATATAATATGCTAAGATAATGTTGCAAAATACTTTTTTAATCAAAAACTATTTGAAAAGAATGTGGGGAAGATTTGCAAGGCCTGTCAAATACGTTACATGATACTATTATTAACTAGACATGTCTTTATGGCTTTGAATTTGTCTTTTGCCATTTGAATGTGAACATAAAATTATTCTACAGTTTCAAATTCACTAACCTATAATAATATCTGTGCATATGAAAATCTATATTCTAGCAAACTCTCTGTTGGGAATTTTAAGTTACATGCAACTATTACAGCCGTATTTTGGTTTGAGTATGACCACTTTCAGGATATATTAAATCATAAATGCATATAAATATGTTTGCAGCTCATTTATAATGATTCCAGATTAAGCCATGATTGACTAACTCAGTAGCAAATCACAGAGGAAACACTTTTGCCATGACATCTCCCTTAAAGGGACTCTAAACACTAAAACTTCTATATCCTAATATAGTAGTTTTAGAACATATGTACTCTTTTCTCTTACAATGTATAAAACTTTGCCATTTCAGGGAAATAAAGAAAGCATACCTCTTGTGGTTGTCAGACAGACAGAGCCTCTATATCCTTACATCTTCAATTTTCGAAGGATTTGCATTGGGTGTCATCTCATACAACATAATGATACCGAACATGGTTAACGCTTCTCATAGTTCATGACAATTGCCACAATTGCTGCCAAGAAGAATCTGATTGGACCAAAGATCATCATGATTGATGATCTCACCATGGGCAGATAAGGCCGAAAAGCAGAGTATGTGTCAGTGCTGGATTACAGGTACGTTTTAAAACAAATGGGAGGGCATAATCTAAAAAAGGAACATATCTAACTTAAAAATAAATATATTTCTTTTTAATGTTTAAGTGTTCTTTTATTTTTGTATTCACCTTAGGAATGTTCAGCGTTCTCCAATTATATTTGTAGTTTGGATATTTGTAGTTCGGCAGCTCAGAAG